AACAAAAACATAAACATAAACATAACCGTACATATGACAGCACATGTAGACCCACTCTTTTATCACATCATTAAAACTATCTTTAAAACATTTGAGTCTCAATCTTTATTCGCGTGCACAGCAGCGAGTTCGTGAGCCCGAGTCCACATCGAGTATCCGTTTGTAGTCCGAGTTTCCGAGTCCACTAGCCCTATATTGCGTCTGCGTTAGCGGGTGTCGCAGGTTTGAGGGACCCTTTTTCATTTTATTTTTGTTTTGTGTCCTATTCCTCCAACTTCATTTTGCAAATTGCAGGCTCGATATGAGTATTGTATGATTATGATTATGAGTATATGAATATGAATACGAATAGGGCTGCTGCCAGACCAGCGCTACTTAACAACTCTCAGTCTAACCCTTTTAATATCAGGGCCGCTCTCGCTCTCTTCCATTCGACTCCCCTCTTGGATCGCAGGAGACGCACCCATTGGGATTCTGTTAGTCTCTCTCTCTCTCTCCCTATGTATGTATGTATGCATACATGTTTATGTCTATGTTTATTGGAATAATTTCCATGGCATGTGCTTTACAATTTGGTATTGTATTGAATGAGGGTAATGGGTTCAGAGATATAATTAACAGTATCCTATGAAAGATTTGGGCTTTTTAGCCACCATAAAAACCCTAACGTTTCTTTTTTCTACATAGCTAACCCATGAATTTTCGTTTGTTAGTGATTCTAAATTTAATGGAGTGTAATGCTATTTATTTTACGACACTACTCATTTCTGTTGTGGACAAGCTAATGATTTTTCCCATTTTTGTAGGGTGGAGGTGCCTATAGAGATTCATCCAAGGTAGGATTTTTTTGGTAATGTTGTTGTTTTTGCTAGTTTATGATGGGTATAAATGCGGAGCTTCTATTTGCACACTCATTCCAGTGCACACACTTAATGACAATTTTTTATTACAATTTTATTCACAAGTGAAATTACTATTATGGACATCACACACAATTCAAATAAACATTCGGAAGTTAAATGTCAAAAAAATAAAAAAAATTCAGGATTCTACTGTTGAAAGAAATGATAATTTTTGAAATGGTAATTCCGAACAAGTTGTTTATTTTTGGAATGCTACCTCCGAACAAGTTATTTATTGAGAAGGATGTACATAGAGTGTAATGGGTGTGGGCAAATAGAAGCTCCCGTATAAATGTTGCCAAGTATATAATAGTTTTTAATAAAGGCTTGTTCTTTTGGAAAAAAGGCCTATTCTTGACAAAGAAATATGTATGCTTTTGTGGGGATATTCTGAGCATCCTTATTAAAAATCTGATATACTTGTACTGCAACTAGTTGTTAAGGTTAAGGTAGACACAACATATTTGTAAGATCACCTTTCTGTTGCATTAGTATTATTGAGAATACCATTTTTTGCATGAGCATACACATTGTTTTTACTATTATGATAGCTTTAGGCTGAGCTGCAGTTCTTGATTTCTGTGTTAGAGAATTATGTACAAATTTATTAGTAGATTGTGGAATTCACGCTAGTGGGAACATTGTACTCTGTGATACTCTGTAACTAACTACTTCCTCCATCTTCGTTCACCATGGTGTTCCTTTGCGGACTCTAGTTTCATAACTTATTGATGATGCAAAAATTTGCAGTTTAGAATGAATTAAACATTCCATCGAGTTAAACAAGGATGTCATATCGAATACATCTAAATGATTTGTGAGATTTGAATAGGTTATGAATCTTATGATCAAAGGTTTGTTGGTTCAAATTTTTTGCTTCTAACTGAACTGAAAAACCACTGTGTTTGGTTCTAACCTGTAATGTTTATGACATTTGGAGGTAAGAATTAACTTGGGGAAATATGGCACATTTTTCTTATGGATGGAAACGTTAGGATTATTTGCTATTCAAACATATGTTGAACAATTGTAAATATGTCATTGATTGTAAAATACTGATTTTTAATATCTATTTTAGATTTAAAAATAAAACGTGGTACACTTTGTAATATGTATCTTTTAACAAAGGTTGTAAGCAAGCTGAGCTTTGGGGTGTTCAAGCCCAGCTCGCTAAATATTATTTAAGCTCAAGATATACTTCAGCTCAGCTCTAGTCAACTTGACTACATAAACTAGCCAAGCTCACTCGAGCTTGAAAAGAAAAGTCAAACCTAAATGAACATTCACATTTAAGGGAAAAATAAAGATTATGAGAAAAATATAAAAGAATGCTCATATTATTAATGTTTCACTAATCAAATAAGTACATTTTACACAAACACCAAACATAAACCAATAAATAAAATAAATTAATGAAAATATATTTGAGATAAATAATAGTAATTGATATATCCTTGTGTTTATGAGACTATTTGAGGCTTAGGTCTACTTGAGTTCAACTTGATTAATAAACAACCCTAAAATTTGGCTTCAGCTTGTTTATTTAACAAAGGAGCTGAGTTTGAGGTGTTCATGGGCAACTTGATTTGTTTGTAACCCTACTTTTAACCATACTTTTTGTCGTGTCAATTAAGTCTGCAACTCGTTGGCAAACAATGTTTATATGTTTGCACGGATTCTAGTATTTTCCATTTTATCATTTTTCTTGTGTTAAGTTCTATCTTAATGTATTTTTCCATTAATTAAACACACCTTTGACAAATTCAATTTGTTTTCATTTTATTTATTTATTTTTGATGTTGATTAAATGATTTCTACCTTTGGCTATTGATTATCTACAGAGATCTAATCACTACTCAAAAAGGTTCAGAAAGCTGCATTCAAAACAAACATTGTTGCGCAACGTCAGTGCTTTTGCGGAGCACCTATTTCAGGTTATCATGATTTGACTCACTTATTTTATGAGTGGTAGAACAACATAAATTTTGTTTGGTTTCACATTTGGAGATTTACTTGCTAATAGGAAAGATATTGGTGAAGGGTGGTTTGTTCAAAATATGGTGGTTTCTTCAAGGTACACAAATGTTGCATTTTAGAGAGAGTTTCATGGACAAAGCTATGGGTGGGCCAATGGGGGCCATGACCCCCGAAAGTGTCTGGAGTTTTTTAAATTACACCTCTAATTTATGAGTATTTTGATAATTTATATAGAAGACTCCCTAAAGTTTTTTAAAATTCGTTTTACCCTCAGTATTTCTACAATATATACGTCATGACTCCCACTATTTCATACACTACCTAATAACATCAATTCAATTGATTTGATATGTAATTGTCATTTGTTGTTTATTTGATTATAAAAATTATCGAGATACATTTTTTATTTATATAAATTATTCAAACTCCGCCGGTCCCAGTCTCGACTAAACGAGGAAGGTTGTGTGTTAGGTAGCCAACAACCAACACGTAAAAGAGCTGCTCGGATCCCTTATGAAAATGAATCCTATCAACGGGCCGGACCGGGCCCGCCCCGGGCCGCCCATGGGCCGCCGGCGGGTTTCGCGCCGCTATGGGACGGGGGCCAATTTTACACTCCTATTAATGTTAATTTTAATATGTCAATGTGAATATTCACATTGTCAACGTGCCGGGCCCGCCCTAGCTCGCGGGCGGGTTTCGAGCCGCCTACGGGCCAATTTACATTCCTACAAATGTGAATTTTAAAATATAAATGTTCACATTATTAAATTGCTAATTGTTGAAAAAATATTTATAAGGGTGTCAAAATTAACTATAAGGGCATAAATGTCCAAGAAAATAGTGTAAATCAAGAAAATGGATTTTATGGAATAAAACTATACATACATGGGACTAAATGGGTTAAAAAATTCCTTCATGGACTTCTTAGGTTAAAATACTTCTAAATTGGATTTATCAATAAAAATTCCAAGTTATTAAAATTAAAAATAGATATTTCATTTTTTTCATAATCTTTCTCATAACATTATTTGAATAATTTTTTTTTTTAAAAATAAACTTGAATTTTTTTATTATTTTAATATTATAATTTTTTTAAAAAAATTTACACAAATCGCCCCCCAAAACGAACTATAATTTTAGAATTCTAAATGTGACAAGAGAAAGAAAAAATAAAAAAAAAACAAAATAAAAACATAAACATAAACAAACACATCACACCGACCCTCTCTTTATCACATCATTACAACTATCTTTAAAACATTTGAGTCTCAATCTTTATTCGCGTGCACAGCAGCGAGTTCGTGAGCCCGAGTTCACATCAAGTATCCGTTTGTAGTCCGAGTTTCCGAGTCCACTAGCCCTATATTGTGTCTGCGTTAGCGGGTGTCGCAGGTTTGAGGGACCCTTTTTCATTTTATTTTTGTTTTGTGTCCTACTCCTCCAACTTCATTTTGCAAATTGCAGGCTCGATATGAGTATTGTATGATTATGATTATGAGTATATGAATATGAGTATGAATATGAATAGGGCTGCTGCCAGACCAGCGCTACTCAACAACTCTCAGTCTAACCCTTTTAATATCAGGGCCGCTCTCGCTCTCTTCCATTCGACTCCCCTCTTGGATCGCAGGAGACGCACCCATTGGGATTCTGTTAGTCTCTCTCTCTCTCTCCCTATGTATGTATGTATGCATACATGTTTATGTCTATGTTTATTGGAATAATTTCCATGGCATGTGCTTTACAATTTGGTATTGTATTGAATGAGGGTAATGGGTTCAGAGATATAATTAACAGTATCCTATGAAAGATTTGGGCTTTTTAGCCACCATAAAAACCCTAACGTTTCTTTTTTCTACATAGCTAACCCATGAATTTTCGTTTGTTAGTGATTCTAAATTTAATGGAGTGTAATGCTATTTATTTTACGACACTACTCATTTCTGTTGTGGACAAGCTAATGATTTTTCCCATTTTTGTAGGGTGGAGGTGCCTATAGAGATTCATCCAAGGTAGGATTTTTTTGTTAATGTTGTTGTTTTTGCTAGTTTATGATGGGTATAAATGCGGAGCTTCTATTTGCACACTCATTCCAGTGCACACACTTAATGACAATTTTTTATTACAATTTTATTCACAAGTGAAATTACTATTATGGACATCACACACAATTCAAATAAACATTCGGAAGTTAAATGTCAAAAAAATAAAAAAAATTCAGGATTCTACTGTTGAAAGAAATGATAATTTTTGAAATGGTAATTCCGAACAAGTTGTTTATTTTTGGAATGCTACCTCCGAACAAGTTATTTATTGAGAAGGATGTACATAGAGTGTAATGGGTGTGGGCAAATAGAAGCTCCCGTATAAATGTTGCCAAGTATATAATAGTTTTTAATAAAGGCTTGTTCTTTTAAAAAAAGGCCTATTTTTGACAAAGAAATATGTATGCTTTTGTGGGATATTCTAGCATCCTTATTAAAAATCTGATATACTTGTACTGCAACTAGTTGCTAAGGTTGAGGTACACACAACATATTTGTAAGATTACCTTTTTGTTGCATTAGTATTATTGAGAATACCATTTTTTGCATGAGCATACACATTGTTTTTACTATTATGATAGCTTTAGTCTGAGCTGCAGTTCTTGATTTCTGTGTTAGAGAATTATGTACAAATTTATTAGTAGATTGTGGAATTCACGCTAGTGCGAACATTGTACTCTTTGATACTTAGTAACTAACTACTTCTTCCATCTTCATTCACCATGGTGTTCCTTTGTGGACTCTAGTTTCATAACATATTGATGATGCAAAAATTTGAAGCTTGGAATGAATTAAACATTCCATCGAGTTAAACAAGGATGTAGTATCAAATACATCTAAATGATTTGTGAGATTTGAATAGGTTATGAATCTTATGATCAAAGGTTTGTTGGTTCAAATTTTTTGCTTCTAACTGAACTGAAAAACCACTGTGTTTGGTTCTAACCTGTAATGTTTATGACATTTGGAGGTAAGAATTATCTTGGGGAAATGAGGAAATATCATTTTGCCCCCCAAATTATCATGCGTTTTTCAATTTGACCCCCATATTTCAATTTATTTCAATTTAGTACCTGAACTTTTAACAAATTGATCAATTTAACACCTGCCATCACATTCCGTCTACAATTGGACGGAATGTGCTAACGTGGCACCAAAGTTCATTTGGAATTTTATTTTATCCCCCAAACTATATCTTAAAAATCAATTTGCCCCCCAAATATAAAACAAATTGAATTTAAATATTTAATAAATAATTTTTTATCTCAATAATGAAAAAATTAAATTTTAAATAATATACTTTGCAAAAAAAATAATAAAAAATATAAAAAATTCTCATTTTGAATTATTTTGAGACTATGAAGCATGGATAATTCGACAAACATGTCGTACTTGTACCGGGTACTTACCGACGTATGATATTTCTGCATACGTACTGGGTACACAAAATATGTACTCAAAAATTTATTTCTTATTTTTTGTCCTACCCAGACATATCTAATATATATTACCTCAGTCAAAAATAATATTTTTCTTTTACTACAAAGATAAAATTCTTTTTACTAAACTTCTTTTTCATTTTTAGTTTTGTGCTTAGTATGGTTCATAGTATCCATGCTTCATAGTCTCAAGATAATTCTAACTGAGGACTTTTATAATTTTTTATTATTTTTTTGCAAAATATATATTATTTAAAATTTAATTTTTTCGTTATTGAGATAAAAAATATTTATTAAATATTTAAATTTAATTTTTTTATATTTGGGGGGCAAATTGATTTTCAAGATATAGTTTGGAGGGTAAAATAACTCTAAATGAACTTTGGTGTAACGTTAGCTTATTCCGTCCAATTATAGACCGAATGTGACAGTAGGGGTTAATTGATCAATTTGTTGAAAGTTCAGCTACTAGATTGAAATAAATTGAAGTATGGGGGTCAAATTGAAAAACGCGTGATAGTTTGGGAGGCAAAATGATATTTCCTCTGGGGAAATATGGCACATTTTTCTTATGGATGGAAACATTAGGATTATTTGCGATTCAAACATATGTTGAACAATTGTAAATATGTCATTGATCGTAAAATACTGATTTTTTTAATTTATTTTAGATTTAAAAATAAAACATGGCAGTACACTTTGTAATATGTATCTTTTAACAAAGGTTGTAAGCAAGCCGAGCTTTGGGTTGTTCAAGCCTGGCTCGGTAAATATTATTTGAGCTCAAGATATACTTCTGCTCAGCTCTAGTCAACTTGACTACATAAACTAGCCAAGCTCACTCTAGCTTGAAAAAGAAAATTCAAACCTAAATGAACATTCACATTTAAGGGAAAAATAAAGATTATGAGAAAAATATAAAAGAATGCTCATATTATTAATGTTTCATTAATCAAATAAGTACATTTTACACAAACACCAAGCATAAATCAATAAATAAAATAAATTAATGAAAATATATTTGAGATAAATAAATATTAATTTATACATCCTTGTGTTTATGAGGCTATTTGAGGCTTAGGTCTACTTGAGTTCAACTTGATTGATAAACAACCCTAAAAATTTGGCTTCCGCCTGTTTATTTAACAAAGGAGCCGAGTTTGAGGTGTTTATGAGCAACTTGATTGTTTGTAACCCTACTTTTAACCATACTTTTTGTCGTGTCAATTAAGACTGCAACTCGTTGGCAAACAATGTTTATATGTTTGCACGGTTTCTAGTATTTGCCATTTTATCATTTTTCCTGTGTTAAGTTCTATCTTAATGTATTTTTCCATTAATTAAACACACCTTTGACACATTCAATTCGTTTTCATTTTATTTATTTTTTCTTTTTGATGTTGATTAAATGATTTCTACCTTTGGCTATTGATTATCTACAGAGATCTAATCACTACTCAAAAAGGTTCAGAAAGCTGCATTCAAAACAAACATTGTTGCGCAACGTCAGTGCTTTTGCGGAGCACCTATTTCAGGTTATCATGATTTGACTCACTTATTTTATGAGTGGTAGAACAACATAAATTTTGTTTGGTTTCACATTTGGAGATTTACTTGCTAATAGGAAAGATATTGGTGAAGGGTGGTTTGTTCAAAATATGGTGGTTTCTTCAAGGTACACAAATGTTGCATTTTAGAGAGAGTTTCATGGACAAAGCTATGGGTGGGCCAATGGGGGCCATGACCCCCGAAAGTGTCTGGAGTTTTTTAAATTACACCTCTAATTTATGAGTATTTTGATAATTTATATAGAAGACTCCCTAAAGTTTTTTAAAATTCGTTTTACCCTCAGTATTTCTACAATATATACGTCATGACTCCCACTATTTCATACACTACCTAATAACATCAATTCAATTGATTTGATATGTAATTGTCATTTGTTGTTTATTTGATTATAAAAATTATCGAGATACATTTTTTATTTATATAAATTATTCAAACTCCGCCGGTCCCAGTCTCGACTAAACGAGGAAGGTTGTGTGTTAGGTAGCCAACAACCAACACGTAAAAGAGCTGCTCGGATCCCTTATGAAAATGAATCCTACTTTGAATCGATAAATGCTAGGTCACTCTACTTAAGTGACGTTTTGCGCCTGCCTCCGAGTGTTTTGAAAAGTGAGCAAGGGGAGCTGCATTGACGCCTGGGTGGTGGAAAATGGGCAAAGGTTTCTGCGTTTTTTTGGACGAGCGTGGATAAAAAAAGCTAATCCAAGATTATAGGTTTAGGGTAGTCACATGGAATATAGAAACTTTAACTGGTAAGACTATGGAATTGGTAGATGTCATGATTAGGAGAAGAGTTAGAATAGCTTGCATATAAGAAACTAAATGGACGGGTGAGAAAGCTAGGGAAATAGAGGATACCGATTTTAAACTGTATTATAGTGGCAAGGATAGACACAGGAATGAGGTGGGAATAATAGTTGCCAAGGGTCTTGTAGAAAATGTAGCTGCAATAATTAGGAAAGGTGATAGAATTATGTTGGTTAAACTAGTTATTGGAGAGGATATAGTGAACGTTATTAGTGCATACGCCCCACAAGTAGGATTAGATGATTGGACTAAGAGAGATTTTTGAGACCAAATGGATGAGGTATTACAGGAGATACCTGTAGGAGAAAACCTAGTTATAGGGGCTGATTTCAATGGCCATGTAGGAATAGATAAGCTAGGTTATGAAACGGGCATGGTAGGTATGGTTTTAGTGATAGAAATGAGGCTGGTAAGAGTATTTTAGATTTGGCATTGCCTTCTAACCTGGTGGTGGCCAATACTATGTATAAGAAGAGAGTGGAGCATTTGATAACCTTTAAGAGTGGGTTAATTAGGAGCCAAATAGATTACTTTTTAGTAAGAAAAGTGGACCGTTTAAAATGCCTGGAGTGTAAGGTGATTCCTGGAGAGAGACTGACGTCTCAACATAGGATTTTGGTACTAGATTTATGCTTTAAAGAGCAATACCAAGCTAGGAAGGATAGTGGGTCATAGGACAAGATGGTGGGACCTAAAAGAGGATAAATTAAAAATATTTAAGAATAGAATGATAAAGAAGGTACTTGAGACTTGGAATGACGCGAACACTATGTGGAACTCAATGGCCAATTGTATGAGAAGAATCTCAAGGGAAGTTTTTGGAGAGTCGAAAGGAAAGGGACCTAACTCTAGGTAAACTTGGTGGTGGAGAGAAGAGGTTTAAGCAGTAGTAAAGACAAAAAAAGAGGGCTTTAAAAAGTGGTAGAGTGATAGAACTGAGGAAAACTTTAAGAGTTACAAATTGGCTAATAAGGATGTTAAAAAGTAGTGAGGGAGACTAAGTTGAAAATCTATGATGACCTATACAGTAGACTATATAGTAAGGAAGGAGAAAAAATGATATACAAACTTGGTAAGATAAGAGAGAGGAGAACAAGAGATTTTAATTAGGTTAAGTGCATCAAGAGTGAGGACTCTAAGGTGTTGGTGAAGGATGAAGAGATTAAGGAGAGGTGGAAGAACTATTTTGAAAAGTTGCTAAATGAGGAATATGGAGGTAGGTCAAAAGGAGAGGAAGTAGACAGTAATAAGGAAAACTAGGACTATAGGTTCTATCGTAGGATTATGAACTTTGAGACCCGATGATATCGAAGAAGATGAAATTGAATAAGGCTTTAAAACCCGATGATATCCCTATTGAAGTTTGGAAATGTTTGGGTAAGAAGGGGGTTGCTTGGTTGACTAGGTTATTTAGCAAGATCTCGTTGACTAGGAAAATGCCAGAGGAGTGGATGAAGAGTATTTTAGTGCCAATTTATAAGAATAAAGGAGATGTCTAAAATTGCAACAACTATAGAAAAATCAAGTTGATGTATCATATAATGAAAGTGGGAGAGAGAGTAATGGAACGTTAATTGTGAGATATAATAGAGATGTCAGAGAATCAATTTGGGTTTATGCCTGGTAGGTCAACAATGGAAGCGATCTATCTTTTGAGGAAAATAATAGAAAAGTATAGAGAAAAGAAAAAAAAACATTAACATGGTTTTTATCGATCTTGAGAAAATATATGATTGAGTGCCTCGAGATATAATCTAGTGGGTGTTAGAGAAGAAAGGGGTGACAAAAGGTTACATTGATATGATTAGGGATATATATATATATATAAAGGTGGTGACCACTATTAGATCGCCTGCTGGAGAGACAAGTGAATTTCCAATTACTGTAGGGTTACACCAAAGACCAACCGTAAGTCTTTATCTTTTTGCTTTAGTTATGGATGAGTTGACGAGAAATATTTAGGATGATGTGTCATGATATATACTTTTTGCAGATGATATCATGTTGGTGGATGAGATTTGGAGACTTGGAGAGAAGCACTTGAACTTAAATGATTTAGGATAAACAGAACTAAGACAAATTGTATGGAGTGTAATTTTAGTAACAGTATCAATGGAAGTAGAGGAGAAGTGAAGATTGAGAACCAAGAACTACTTAAGAATAAGAATTTTCATTATTTAGGATCAATTATCACAATGGTTGGGGAGATTGGAGCGGATATAGTCTATAGAATTAAGGTGGAGTATCTTAAGTGGATTTGGGGTATTGTGCGATAAACGACTACCTACTAGACTAGAATGGAAGTTCTATTGAACGGCTATTAGACCACCTATGTTGTATGGGTTGAAATGTTAGGCAATTAAGAAACAATATGTAGATAAGATGAGTGCTGCTGAGATGAGGATGCTACGGTGGATGTGTGGTAAGACTAGAAAAGATAGAGTTAGGAATGTGTGTAATCGAGAATAGGTAGGAGTAGTAGCGATAGAAGATAAGTTGTGAGAGAATAGATTGAGATGGTTTTATCATTGTGAGAGCCGAATAAATGAAGCTCTATGACCATTGGGCCGTATAGGAACAAAACCAAATGGGCCATAACTTGGGCCGTATAGGAACAAAGCCAAATGGGCCATGACTAGGGCCTTATCGAAGCAAAGCCCAAATGGGCCATGAATAGGTTGCCGAATAGGCTCGAAGACCCATATACCACGTGCCATAAGCCGAAGCTGAGTAATCCAGGGGGGTCAGAAGGGCCCTATTAGATTATATTGCTGGCCCATCCCGATGGAAAAGATTATAAAAGAAGGGGAGGAGCCTGAAGTAGAGGCATGCAAAAACAACAGATAAATACTTGGACCACAATTTAAGGGAGAGAACATAAAAGACAAGTACAACAGAGTGAGCCATCGGAATGAAAGTTCCGGCATAGTAGACCGGAACCACATATCCAGTATAGAGGATATCCAAGTGATCTTGGAAGTCTACTTGGATCAAAGGAGTATTCCCAAAATTCACTTCGCCACAGTCATATACAACGGAGATCAACAGAAGCATTAGTGAAGAAATGTGATACAGTGATGGTAGAAGGAAGTGTTAGGGGAAGGGGCAGACCTACATTGACGTGGGTTAGTGTAATAAATAGAGATATGCATCTCCTTAATTTGACTAACGAAATGGCCTTGGATAGAGTCGAGTGGAGAAGAAAATTCATGTAGCCGGACTCCATTTGATGGGACTTAAGGTTGGTTTGATTTGGTTATAAATTATTCCAACTGATATATTTTGTAATAATATCAATTCTACGATTTTATCATTTTTAAAATCATAGAGATAGCTTTTTAATCTGTATAAATTTTCGAATTATATAGCCAAAAGATTGCATAAAATAATTGAGACAAGTAATAAGAAATGACTTATATAGATTTATCAATTTTCATGCTAATTTTTTTCCACAAGTCTTATGTACTAAATAGCATGGACATGGATATGTGACATGACAAGGACACCTCGATTTTTCAAAAATGCAAGACACAACAAGTTTGAAACACGTTAAAATTTTATATTTTTATAAATTTATTATATGTCATATATTTTGATAATTTATTCAAAGATAATGAAAAATATGTAACAACCATAAAGTATATTAAAAAGCTATATATTTCATAAATTAGACCTTAAGATAACATTCACATAACATTACATTTTAAAGAATGCAAAACAATTATAGAATGTTATAATACATATGATATATTTATTTTATAAAAGGTTTCAAAGCATAATTAGAGTGCATAAGTTATGTTCTAAAGAATGCAGAATATAATTATTATGAAAAGATTCATCAAATAGTATAAAGTTTGTAAGGTTCAAGAAGTGTTTGCGAATTGTCGTTTAAGTGTCTGATATTATGAATTTTATTTTTTAGTTAAGACACATTGAAGAAGTGTTAGATATGCTTTTATCAGTGTTCAACACACTTCCTCTGTAGGAGTGTCGGACATGCTTCCTCTGTGGGAGTGTCCATGCTTCTTAGCGTATGTAAGTAATATTCAGTTTCCAAAAGATAGCTTAATATTTTTGCTACACTTGCCTCAATCCCCCGCAAACGAAATTTTTCTCTTCGTCCATAATTGAGAGGTAGTGAACTTGTCACGACCCCACC